TGACTCTCATGAACATGGACCACAAAAATGCAATTACCAGTTCATTTTAAAATAGGAAACATTTCCTCATAGATAAATTTAAGTAATGTGTCATTTAGTGGGTGAGTGTTGACTGGCTTTCAGAAAGGGAAGCCAGGGTGATAGACAAATTTAACATTGCTTAAGCACAACAGATAAAATTCTAGCACACATAGTGTGGTCACTGACCACAGCCCAGGAAGAGAGTTGTATGCACACAGAGTAGGTGGTAAACATCTGTATGTGAAAGCAAATTTATATGCAAATATTTTATGAAATTTGACCTTTTCAGGAGCAAAGCTTCTCACAGCTTCAAATTTGAAACCAAAGCAATCTAGCATGGAGCCTGCCAAGAGGTCCTACCCATGAGCACTCTGGAGAAAGCAGGTGGCCTTCAGAACTGAGGAGGCTATTCTTGGGGCAAGTGTGCCTTTATTTTGCTTTTAAGAATTTCACAAAACAACTCTTGGGCCGAAAGAATTCAGTTCCCCATTAGGAATCTCTAGCTGAGAACTGCTGGGGCAGCCAGCTACTACTGTCGGCCACAGCATTAAAATCCGTGCAGTGTGTCGCATATAGACCAAGAGGATTACTGCTTGTGTATGTTGAATGCCCCCCAAAGCAAAGAGGAGACATTTCTTCACAAAAAGCACTAGCATGGCCTTGGATAAGTGATGCATGTGTTTGCAAGTTAAGACAACTACAAGTATAGCTAACACTTTTTGTCTAGCCACCCAATTCTTAGTGCAGCATGGGAATAAAACAGTAGTTTCCCAAACAGCATTAAATAGAAGAACATTAAGATAGGACTCAGACGTTTGGCATGAGCCAAGGCTGTCCAAAGCCAAGGGCAGAATTACTGCACAATAGAGCAGCCCGCTAGTTGGTCAGTCTCTCTCCAGGGTCTGTGAACTGCCCAGGGAGTCTGCTGATTAGGACCAGACTTGGCTAAGTTGGATTCTCTCACGCATCTGTGCTTAGCCTATAATAGCTTTGCTACATGAAACCACTTACCACCCAGCGCAAGCTCAGATACATGATGGAAAGGGCTAATGCTTTCTTTCTTTTCTTTCTCTCTTTCTTCCTTTCTTTCTTTCCTTTTTCTTTCTCTCTCTCTCTTCCTCTCCCTCCCTCCTTCCTTTCTTTCTTTTTTTGGTTTTTCGAGACAAGGTTTCTCTGTGTCGTTTTTGGTGCCTGTCCTCAATCTCGCTCTGTAGCCCAGGCTGGCCTTGAACTCACAGAGATCCACCTGGCTCTGCCTCCTGAGTGCTGGGATTAAAGGCATCACCACTGCCCGGCTGGGATAATGCTTTCTAAGCCTTGGTCCTTCAGACTTGCTCCTGTCCCATTGACTAAAGTGAGTTTTAGGGTCAAGCCCACAGTCAAGCTGGGAGAGCTCTTGGCAGAGAGGCTGGTTCCAATACGGGGTGAAAGGCTGTGTCACTACAACTCCCACTTATTCAGACACTCTGCAGAACGTGTGTTACCAAGACTGATTCCCAAGTTTCTCCCGGGTCAACAAAACCTATCTCTGTAGCTTTACAGAGTTTTATTCATGCCCTCATGAGCCAGACTCAGTTGGCTCTGAGCAAGCTGTTCCCACTCCACGTGCAGCATTTTCATAGACACCAGCTTTCCAAGGAAGAAATCCATCACCAACATGAGGCGCTGAGCTGTCCAGCTTCATCCCACACACATCGTGTTCCAAGTTCAATGTGCAGGTCTCATGTTGGACAGTCATCAGCTGTGCTCGCCTTCAGATAGAAAGATTCAAGAATACTCTTCTAACAGGTAGACTGAGACACTTTTAGCCAGACATTTAGCATTAGAAGAATAAGCTGTGGCCCCCCAAATGTGGTAGCAGTAAACTACTGCTTAAAATAGCCAAGAAAAGCCGTGTGGTGGTTGGTGGCTCATGCCTTTAATCCCTGCAGAGCCAGGAGCATCTCTGTGAGTTCAAGGCCAGCCTGGTCTACAGAGTGAGCTCCAGGAAAGGCTCCAAAGCTACACAGAGAAACCCTGTCTCGAAAAACCAATAATAATAATAATAATAATAATAATAATAACAATAATAATAGCAGCCAAGGAAAAGTAGGCTGAGAGTCATCTGCTGACACGTACAGGGCGGGGAGAAGACAGCCCTGTGATAACATCCTAAGAGGAATGGAGAAGCTGTGTGGCTGACAAAGATTCAAGGCGTCATGGAAGGAAGCATCTGGCAGAGTTAGGAGTAGGCAGAGGCTGGCTCTGAGAGACGTGAGAAGCCAAGGATGAGAATGCACTCAGCATGAGGTGGACAGGAAGTGAGGACACGCCAGGATTAGAGGCAGAGACCTTGGGAAGGGTGTAGGCATCACGGTGATAGCCAGAGAACAAGGGCAAAGAATGGCCTTCGCAGAGGATGGCAGAGGGGTGTGTGTGCTGTGTTAGTACTGTCCCTGTGGGCAGAGTATTTGATATTATCAACATTTAAAAGAGAAGGTTGGCTTAAAGCTCAGTTTCTGAGTCTCAGTCTGTGGTTAGCCCACTCTGGTTTGGGGACTGTGAGAGGGTGTGCCATCAAAGCAGAGGTGTGAAGGAAAGCAAAGCTGCTCGCCCTACAACATGCAGGCAACAAAGAGCGACGACAGAGGACCCTCATCCTTTAGGGCACGTCCAGACTGTCTGATAAGTGCCACCACCTCCCAGGAGTGCCCGCGGCTGGGGACCAAGCCTTCAACACATGGAACTTTGACAGACTCCCAAGATCCAAATGATGGCAGTGTCTAGGAGACACAAACCCCAGAGTGCCTATGCCTCCCACTCTACTCACTAGCGCCCCTGCTGGGCACACTGGACACAATACATTCTCTAAAGGTCCGACAGCACTTCATGTCTCCCTTCCACAGATGGAAACCCACACATTAAAGACTCCTGCAGGGCCTTTGTGCCAACAAAGGCTGAAGACTAGTCCTAGTAGTGTGGCTGAGGCTGCTGGACGTGAGAGATGCAGCTGGTGTCAAGTTCAGAGTGAGGCACACAAGCCAGCAGCCAGTCTCCTGAAGATGTTCCGAGGATTAGCCACACCCATCTAACAAAACACACGCCTTCTCAGGAGATCGGAAGTGATGCCCAGGTGCAACCCTACACCCCTGCTCCCATTACTGTGCAGAGTTTGGGCCCTGCCCAAAGCTAAGGTCTCTGCTCTACCCTGTGGTGAGCAAAGGCAAGTCGAGCCAAGTTGCTCCTGGGCCATATTCTGATAGAAACACCCTTGACTTTCCTCTGGCTCTTGGAGGAGAGCATTTCTTGCTTTCCCCTAGATAAACACAGGCCTGCAGCTTGGGGCCACAGGAAGCCTCTTTAGCCACACCACTCTGGGGCTTTGCTGCTGGCCCACTGGTATCCACGGCACAGAGAGGACACGGATAACAAATGTGCAAGCAATTGTAACGATGGGACCAGCAGCCCCCGACATGCACACTTCGCTTTCACTCACACAATTTAACTTCACGCTTCGCTTTTCCTATTGGGAAGCAAGGGCAGAATCATGGAGACAGCTAGACTTGTGGTCCACCCTTCCCTGTGCCTTAGCATTTGATTATGACAGCTGACATAATCAAATGCTAAGGCACAGGGAAGGGTGGACCACACTCTGGGCAGGTAAACCTTCAAGCCAGCAAACAGTGAGTTGTGACTAGTGCCTGCCATGCTCATCCCATGAAGAGCACCGCCAGGCGTCAGTCTCTCCATGCTGAGTCACCATACCTACCCATATGCACACCTTTTCTACAAGCACATTCATTAAGTCACATCAGGAAATGACAGCTCAAAACACAGGGCACCAAAGGTTCTGACCCTTCCTCCAGGGCCAGGCTGGCCACCCAAACTTCAAGACAGCCACTAGAGTGCAGCCCTGGGTCCTCAGTACTTTCAATTCTTCCCTCGGGACCTATGGCTTGGTATTTTAACTGATATTGTAAGGAAAAGGTCCTTACTTTTTTACAGAATACATACTTTCAAAAAGCACATTCTTCCCATCCCCATTGGGACTCCTGCTATTCAGCTCGCTGAAGTGATCAACTAGTAAAGGTTTATTTTGGCTCCCAGTCTTGGAGGTGGCACTTCACGACAGATGAGCTTTGGATCCGTGGCACATGACAGGAAGCCTATGGCAGAATAGCTGGTCAGGAGAGAAAGGTAGAGACTAGTGTCCATCAACCCTGATAGGCACATCCCGAGGACCTGAGCCCTCCCCAAGACTCCCTTTTCAAACTTTCAATCTCCTTCAAACAGTGACACAAGCTGGGGACAAGACCTTTAACACATGGGCCTTTGGGGGACATTCCAGATCCAAACTTGATACCCACATGAGGTGAGTCCACAGCTGTTAGCTGGCAGAGCAGCAGGCTCCAGAGTCAGTCTGGGAGACAAGACAACATCCTTCTTCTGACAAATCCTTAAGAGAAAACCCAGGCACGTTCAGGACCCTCATGTGGGTTGGATGTCGGCAGCCCACCTACTGGAGCCCCTCTGATGCAGAGCTGGCCATTCGTCCCCACAGGACTTGGCCATGCCTGGGCCTGGACTTGGGGCCGAGGAGAATGGGGAGGAGTAGGGCATCCCATGCTAGGATAGCTCTCAGCCCACCCGTCCCACAGCCTGGCTTCATCAAGATGGGGAAATCCAACGCTGAGACCTGGAAGGCAAGGCCGTGTTGGGTGGTATGAGAGAGATGTGCCCCAAAAAGCCAGGCAAGAGGGCTGGCCATCTGTGTGGGTGCAACTCACCCATACATTATCACAGACCAGTTCCCATCCCACCGTGTCTTGGGGAAATGGACTATGCAGGAGACTGGAGCTCCCAACACCGGGCTTTCATCTCAGAAAGGACCACCCCCTTCCCTGCCACAAATAACAAGGTTCTGATGGTCTGCTCACCATAACAGTCAAACCATGAATCACCAATGAAGGAATGCACTCCCTCATAGAAGGCCAGACATACCAAATAGTAAATTACATTTTATTTCATTTACAGAGGGGCCTTGTGGCAACAAGGTGGCATGGGGCAAACAGCACCCAGGTGAGCACGTGGAAAAGACTGCTGTAAGCACACAGGTGAGCTTGGTGCAGCTCCAGTGAGCAGGCCCGGGGAGCCGGGGAGCCGGGGAGGCAGGCAGGAAGGCAAGGCTTGAAAAGCTTCTCTTGGCTTCTCTTCAGGCTGGGACCAACTCCCCTGCATCCACAAGGCCACATGTGTCCTGGACATACAATACAAGAGTAGCACAGTTCCCATGAAAACTTAACAGCAGGCGCATGGAGAGCTGGGTTCCTCCATGCCTGGCAGTGACGTCACCAGTGGCCCTGCCCTCCCCGTTCCACAGGCTGGAGAATTAAAAATCGCAAGCCCCAGTGCCTGCCAGGTGAGAATCCACTCCACCTGTGCTGACGATGCTCTCCTTACACATACATCTGCACAGTCCACCCCCTCCCCAGCCCTGGAGTGCCCGTGGTGATCTGCAGTTCCTGAGCGTGATGGTGGTGTTTGGTGGTGTTCCCAGGCTGGTGCATGGTGCCAGGATCAGCGGGAGCCCCCTGAGGCCAGGAGCTACAGCAGCTTGACATAATTCTGTGGAATCAGCCCTCTCTTGCCATTCAGGGTCCCTTCCAGCCAGCCAGGTTCCCTTGAGGTCTGAACTGAAAAAGAAGAGACCATGTTTACAAGCCTGCTCCTGGTCCTTGTCCCTGATACTCACCATGCTGCAGGGTTTCTTGTAGGCTCAACCATGGAGCAGTCAGTGGAGAGCAGGGTCACTTCTGGGGCCTTGAATAACAAAGCTGCCATGGCAGTTACTGATGGCTTCGGCCCAGGATTGCTAAGCACAAAGCTCCCCTATCTCGTCCCCCAGCTTCTGATCCTGCTCCTTCTAGTTCATGGTGTACCAAGTGTGCACAGAGCACACATTTTCCCCTGCTTCAAGTCAAAACCAAGTTTACTGGGCCCTTCCTGCAGTCTCTCGAACTCCCTACCCTATCAACCAGTTCACCCGAGTCAACCAGAGAACCCCAACTCCAGGGCCCTGGTGCACACAGGGCTTGCTGCCTAGAGCACTTTCCCACTTCTTCACTGGGTAACTCCTCCACTTCAGGTTCCAGAGCACGGCTGCTCCTTAGGGAGGTCTGCTTCAGCCACTCCAGGAATTAGCCGCACTCATCTCACGCCCACGTGGAGGGGAGCTCCTGGTGGCAGGCCTGGGCCTTACACGGTGAAGCACAATGCCCAGCACACTGGCGGTGTCAATACATACTTGTGACGGTCACATGACAAGGGTCAGACTGGACATCAGAAGACACAGAGCTCAAGTCAGTACACTAGCATTTTGGTATCAAATACAAAAGAATTTAAGGGACCCCAGCTGAAGCATCAATTATGGCCAGGGGCAGAGCCACATGCCTTGTCGGAAGTGGGCAGTACTTGCCCACAGAACAACCCAGAAACCAGCTCTGAAATGCAGCTTTTGATCACAACCCACAGGAATTATCTTATACTAAAAACTGGGTGCAGGTATTCACACTGCCGTCTTGTGAAGCCGTTTCCCCGCTCTGTGCGTGATGGACTCTTTATTCTACTGCTCTGTGATTGCCACTTGCACCTGAGCAATTCATGACCCACTCGTGTGGAGACCATGATGGTTCAGTGCTAACTGTCCTTTTCAATGAGGTCACCGTTGGTTTTCTCCTGTGCACTCTGCTATCTGCATCGCCATGGCCTTCTGACACTTTCTTCCATCTGCCAAGTAGCTTTAAGGCTTCTACTTGGTTGCTCCGTAGGTCCTAAATATTCTACACCCCATCCATGAATGGGCAGTACAGATTAACACCAGTTACGGCTCTGCCCCCATTCCAGACAGATGAGGGGCCCCACACCTACGCATTCCATGTGTGCCTAAGAGAGTGAGGCTCCTCGTCTAGATTACAGCTGAAAGTTCTCATGAGAGCGCATGTTCCCTGGTACCTGACCGAGTGTTTCACGGTCTCTGCAATAAATGAGCAAGTGAAGTAAGGTGTGCTTTCAAGGTGAACCAGCAGGCACCAACTCACTTTCTTCGCCCCTCACTGACCTTTACCCTGACCTTGTCACCAAGGACACTATTTGTAAAGGCTTCGTCCATACACTATACTGGCAATGCCACCAGGGTATGGAGAAAGGACTGGATTCAACACCAAAGCCCCCCGCCCCCGGGATGTGCCACCTGCTGCATACGGTGTCCTGGATGAGTGTAAACGCAAGCTGAGGCCCCACAGCTTGCCAAGGCTCATCCCTGGCAACTTCAGAAGTATCTGTTCATTCTTTAATTCCTTCACCACCTCAGGGCAGGGCCAGCATTGGCAGGCACCACTCCACAGCTGCTCTGGCAGACAGAAGGAGCTGGCAGTTGATTCCAAAGGGTCTCCTACCCTGGAAACTAACTGCTGCATGGCAAGGCAGCTGTGCTTCCATTTTTATGGCAGGAGACACAGGGGCTCTGTCTCCAGTCATTCTCTAGGGGCCTTTCCTATGGGCCACCTCTGCACCTAAGTTTTCTGGTGACCTCTATCCTTCGTTTCCATAAATGGAATAATCTATTTGTCCCTCTAGAATTGGCTTATTTCACTGAGGATATCTTCAGGTTCAATCCCACCCACGGGTCTGACTTTCTGTAGACAGCTTGCTTACACTCCTAAGTGTACACTAAGGACACACTACATTTTGTTCATCCACTTGCCAGCTGATGGGCAATTGGTCACTTCCACCTTTGGGGTCCTCGTGAGTGCTATCAACAGCAGATACGAGAACCCCTGCCTTTCCTCTTTTTGAGTGTATTCTCAGAACTGGACTGCTGGGTCACACTTGCCTCCATTACTAATGTTTTGAGTAGCCACACTGTTATCTTCCACATGGCTATCACCCCGTTCCCATTCACAATGGCACAAGGGCCCCCATTTCTCTATGACCTCACCAACAATATCCGTCCCGTCTCCCTCTCCATGCTGGAACGGGTGTGAAGTGGTATGTCACCGTGCCTCTTACCATCCTGTCCCACGACAACAGTGACTGCGGAACCAGCATCAACATTTTCTGCAAAGCTACATCCATTCCAGAATGGAGTCTTGGGCCTCGACAGTCTAACCTAAGGTCAACCATGACCTGTGACAAATATTTTAAAAACTGAGCCTTCAGCAGAAGAGAACACTAGGAACTCAGCTCAGCTTAGGAAGCCCAACGTGGGCCCCATGCAAGCTGGGTCTGAGGACTCTCCTCTGTCTCCCACGACACCCTCCCCCTCCTCAGGGAGACCATGGGCTCAAATGTCATACTTCTCATTCTCCTTCCTAAGCTTTAGTTAAAATACTTTTGTCCCACAAGTCTCTACCCCCATTTGCTGATTTCTGAGTTCAGCCAGCATCACACTGCATGTACTAATGTGGCACCCAGCAGCTTTCTGTGATTCCCACATTAGGAATACAGCTGGCAGGCCCTCCCCGAGGGTGCCAAACAGCATTTCAAGGATTAATCCATGTACTTCAGACCTTAAAAGTTCAATTCCTAGAGGCTTTTAAGGGTTAATATGGTCCACACCTGCTGCCTGTAGACACTGCCTCTACATGTGGCATACAACCACCACACTGGCCTCAGCACTGAGTGTGGGCTAGTTTCTGAAAACCCTGTGCTCGTGGGCCCTACGGTCCCGTGGGCAGACCCAGGGCAGACCACACTTCACACCTGACTATCAGAGCTGTCAACAAGTGCATTTCTGGGATTCGTGAGCCCCAGAGAAAGGAGGACGTTTCCTGGCTTTTACAGGAATACTGGCTGCCCTGAGACCACACGAGTGAGCATAGACTTCCTGGTAGAGCATGGGAAACATCTCTCAGAGCTACAGAAACACATCTTCATCCCAGAACTGGAATTCATAACTTAAGTCCACAGAGTAAGAGGAGAAAGTGAGGAGTTACAGAGCGCATACTCACTAGAGGTCCCTTCCCTTCCACACACCGGTCTGAGGTCCCTGCTTGTGATTTTTCCAAAGCCCTATGAACAGTGAAGCCCAGGGGACTTATCAGGCCTCTGACGGTCATAAACTGGTTTCTGTCATTGCCTACAGTACAAAAAAGGATTACACTGTGGGATCCTTGTGATTGGTAGAAGATTCCAAACCATTATGTGAGCAGAAGAAAACTACCTTAGGTGTCAGGGTGTTAAGGATTGCCGGTCAAAGCAAGGGAGTGTTCCTGGAGACATTGCTGCAGATTGAGCTGTAAACACTGGCTGGCTCCACAAAAGGACCCACGCCCTGCCTAACTGTCTCACTTCACGCTGGTTGTCAGAAGAAAAGAACCCACCACCCTTCGAAGAACAGACATATTCTGAGCAAATATCTGCTTCCAAGCAACTGAGAGGTCAGCCAGGCCCTGGAGATGAAAGTGCACACAGTAATGTTGTTTATATAGTGTTTATTCATAGAGTAGGGCTGCACCCTAGTTAGGGGCCTCAACCTTCTGTGCCCTTTCGGACCCGCTCCTAAGGAACAGCAAGTTGGGCAGGCTGCGCCACCTCTGAAAACATTCCTCTGAGCTCATGTGCACCACAATGGGACGCTGGGGAGGCACCACAGACACAGGGCTCACAGAAAATGAGGCCTCTACAGGATAGGAGAAGAGAGGGCCAGCATTCCAAGCAGACCTTTTTTGGAATACACAGCCTTGGGGGAGGGGCTGAGGAACAACTAAGATGCCCTGGGTGTCCAGCCAGCATGCTAGAAAGAGCTGGCCACCAGCACTACAGGGCACCATGCCCAAGGGAGACATAACCTGGCTAGCTGCAACCATATCTGCAGCACACTGTGATGGCCCCTGTAGGGCACAGTAGTCACCAGCATGTTTCCCCCCCAAATGCCCACAGTATTCAAACTTCAGCCTCCTGAACCTCACTGAATCACCCTGATACATCTTTGCAGACTGGGATGAAAATCCTGGTACACAGAGCACTTATAGTTTCCAGAGAAAGTGAAGGGGCAAGGCACTGCCACCTGCTCTTTGCCTGTGTGTGTGTGTGTGTGTGTGTGTGTGTGTGTGTGTGTGTGTGTGTGTGTGTGTGTTGCTTATCTCTATGTACATATATGTATGAGTATGTATATATATATGTATATACATATATATATATTTCTATGATCCTTTTTTAAAGTCATCAAGGGACTTTGGTGGTAGAGAACATGGGCCTCCTGGGCTGGCTGCTTTCTGACCCTTCTTTTGTCTTCCATCTACACTGGCAGACCCAGATTTGGTTTAGAGAGACACAGGTGTCATGGCTGTGTGCCCAAAGCAAGTGCTATGAACCTAATGTGGTTCTTGTTGACCCATTCCTCAGAGTGACAACTTCTGAGTAAATATTTGACCCAATTTTGACCAAGAGATGTAAAGGCAGTTAAACTCAGTAAGTTGTGGAAAAGTGTTCTCATAAAAGAAATACAAAGAGGAGACATCCCCTTTGCTAGTTATGTGTGGCCTGTAAATGTGGCCATTTCTCACCCCACAAGGACACTAGTCAAAGATCCAAGTCTGAAGCTCAGAATGTTCAGCAAACATGGGAATACATTCGTCTTGGTGACATCTTTACACACCCCTGTGCACCACTTATTGTGGAAGCCCACAGAGGTTTCCTAGTGAGATCTGAGTTTGCTTTACCCAGCAGAGCTGCATCAGAGGACTGCTTGACCATGTGTGTGGTTACTAGGTAATTGGAAGGGTCTACACTTGGCTGAGCTAGGGGGAGGTCTTTTGCTCCACCCCCTTGGCATTCCTATAAACAGCCCTTTAGAAGAGACAGAGGGGCCGGTGGATAATGTTCCAGGCCTTCCCGAGGCTGTCCTGTGTTTCTGTTTCTCCCCTCTCTATCCTTCTATCTAATATCTCGGTGTGTAAGAAAAATCTCGTGAGAGGGCACTGCTGCTGTCTTCTGAGGTTATCGGGAATCTGGCTCTAGGAGCACACAGCACACACACAGAATCTATTCTAAATAAAGCAACTTGCTTTCTATACAACGACTCTCATCAAATGTTGCACTTCTAACTACCACAATGCGCTGTGGCGATGTGTTCCATAGACTCCAAACATTCTGGCTAATCAGCCATTCCATTCCAGCAGCCAAGGTTTCCCCTGCTTCCTAGGAACTCTTCTGGGGAGCTCCACCCACACTCAACATCACCGTTTCCACAGCAACCAATGAATTTCATAATGAGTGTGACTAGAGAGGGGAGAAATCAAGAGCAAGGGAGGAAAATATACTCACTGAACCAGAGGAGAAATTTGTGAAATATTAAAACAGGCCTAGCTCCTAAATGTCTGTGTATGAATATTAAACATTCAACTAAAATCCACACCCTTATTTAAAATGTAAAGTCTAAAGATGCGCACACTGTTCCAGTTGGCAGGAAATCGCAAAGCACGAGAACGGTACAGAAGAGAGAAGGCCAAGTGTTTGGATTTCTGAGTCCTCACTGGTGCTGTGAAGCATCTCCACTTGGTTAGGGACGGTGGCGGCACAGAAAACAAAGGATGCTCCTCAGAAGCACTCAACTCCAAGTGGTACCAGCTTCTTGCCCCCGTCAGAAGCGACCTGAATGAAGGCCTACTGGATCAAAAGGGGTGGAGACTGGCCAAGAAGAAACACTTCCACCTCCAACACACAGCTCTGCAGCTCATCTCAAAGGCCAGTGTCAAAACACGGCCACAAACAGTGGCCGGCACTCTCTGTGCGGACATTAAGGGGAGACAGAATGTCTCCCGCCACAAAGCTCGTGGCAGCACTCACCATCCTCAAAAATGGCTCCTATTTCAAATGACAGTTCCGAGCTGTGTTCTGCCTCACAGGGGTACACGGCACGGGCCTTGCGATTGATAACGCTGCAGAGAGAACACAGAAGGCTTGAATGGAAAACTGAAGACAGAACCCTCACAGCCCCCTCCCCATTTCCCAAATCTCATTTACATGCCAACAGTGGGGAAGTACATTCCGAAAAGGAAATGACAGGGCCGTGAACATCAGGCAGAGCAGTAGCACTTGGCTTTCAAGTAATGATGGGTTTCCAACACAAACCTTCCCTTAGGGAGTCTCCCTGGGAAGCTGTCAGTGAACCACTTCACCAGAGTCTCCTCATTGCCTGGTGGAGTGTCCCATCCCAGGGCTCAGCACTGTAGAACGCACAAGACATGTTTACCTCTGAGTACTTCAGCTGTACATCAGCGAAGAGAGAGGAAGAGGCACATGACATTAAACTGCTCCCAGTAAGTCCATGTGTGCCGCCTACAGTTCCCACAGCACACTGGAAGGGCTGCCATCCCTGGTAGGTCTTTATTTAGGCCATTCTGCCCCTTAAAATGAACACAAGGCTCAGCATCTCCTAACTTGTGAGAACATGTTCTGAGCCCTCCTGAGAGACGTGCACAATGGGAAACGGTGAAAGCCATACTTGGCCAGATCTAAGCCAAGGAAAAAAGAAATGCTGCCTCTTCCTGGAGACGTAAGAATTCTGCCAGCTGATGCTCAGGCAATGTGACTTGCTATTCTCTCTTCTACAAACTGGTCATAAGATGCCCACAGAAGTCAACATATCCAGTATCCACTCTGCCTTCCGTTTCAACAAAGAATCTGCTTTACATCTGCATATAAAAATGCTTGCAAAGAATTTTTGAAATTCTTTTTTCATAAATATTCCTAATTTCATAAATAAATAAGAAGGACTGAAAAGGGAGAGCAGGTCCCAACAAGGCTCATGCACTACAAATTCTTCTCAAAACCTGCAATTGGCCCTGAGTAGCCAACAGGTTCCTCATCTACAGATTCAACCACTCACTGATTGAAAGTATTAAAAAAAGGGGGGGAGGGGATCTGTATTGTGCAACACATCCAGTCCTCCCAGGACTTTCCTAAACAATACAGTGTAGTAAAGGTTTACACAGCATACACATTATTAGGTATTAAAACTGACCTACAGATGACTTCAAATACACAGGAGGATGAGTGTAGGTCAGATGTAAATACAAAATCATTCTATATGAGCAACTAGAAGACAGAGTGGACAGATGTGGGAGTCCTGAAGCCAATCCCCACAGTATCAAGAGTGCTGCACCTGCTTCTGAGACGAGGCACAGCCCTGACTGGAACTTGGCTATCGATGCCAAGGGATGCAGACAGGCATGCTCTAGCAGAAGGCTGTCAAGGCGCTTCTTTGTGCTACCACCTTTATTCCACATCACACCCCAAACCACGTACCATTCGGGCAGCTTGTCTACAACGGAGGCAGCAGGAGAGAGGGGCAGATGGGACATCCTGGGTGATGGAGAGGTGCCCTCTGGGTTGGAGCTTGGTGTGGTTGGCGACTGCAGATTTAGCCACGGCACTGTAGACGCCCGGGAATGGCTTGGCCTAAGGATACATTTGAAGGACAGGATTAATGCCATGAACAGTCATAACAACAATTGTACAACAGTCTGAGCCAAATGGCCAGGATGCCAGCACCCATGTGTCTTCATACCACCAAGGACAGAGTCCTATCTGTACCTCCCAGGATTCGAACTCAAGCCACTCTAGAAGGAGCCACATCTCCAGCTAGAGACACATTACTGAACTTCTCTCTGTTTGTGGGGATCTGATCTTGTCTAACCCACTGCCATTTCCAGTGTCCTGGTTGGTTTTCATGAACCGGCCTTCAGGTTCCTGCTTTGAGTTCCTGCCCTGACTTCCATTCCATGCTGGACTATGAGTGAATCTGGAATAAACCCTTTCCTTACAAAGATGCCTTTTCCTTCCCAAGGTGTTTTATCACAGCATAGAAACCCTACCTAAGGCAATGAGTTCACTAATTAGAAAACTAAGGCTCAAAGTAGTGGTGTGGACTTCTTAGGAGCAGGCACTCCTTGGCTGAGAATGAGGTTTACCTTCTGATAAACCCACTGAAGCTGGACAGACCGTAACTGAGACCACATCTAATGTTCTTAGCAGCATAGTACACATATGTGCGCCCACACACGCACACGCACACACCTGAGCGATCACATCCTGCCTGGGACTTGTTCACTGCTGCTCACCTCTGATCAGAGAAGATGAGAACGCAAAACATGTTTCTACTGAATGCATGTTGATTGCACAGCTTTCTGAGTTAAAAACCCTAAGTTGGGGCTTTGTGAGTGGGGAACCTGTCCTAACTCATTTCTTCTACTTATACGGAAAGTGGCACAAACTTAAACATTAGGTACATGGCTGACAGAGACCAACATGTAACACTTCAACACTGAAAGGTCCTTCACCTGGTATTTATATGTGGAAACTCATAAAACTTTGCTACTAACAACCAAGATTCCTCCAGAAAGAGCAAAAGACTAAAGTTTAAAGGAGAAATCAATGAACCACAAACAATTCTTGGTGTTTGATTTGTTCCTCGGAATTTAAAATTGAAAGAGATGGCTCAGAGGTTAAGAACATTGGCTGTTCTTCCTGAGGACCTGGGTTCAATTCCCAGCTCCACATGGTGGCCCAGAACCATCTGTCACTCCATATCCAGGGATCCAACATCTTCTTCTGGCCTCCCCAGGCACACATGTGGTATACACATACATGCAGGTAAAACACGCATACATATAAAAATAAATAAAATCTCAAAAAATATTGAAGAAGTCAGTGACAGTTGCTATGATAAACACCACAACAAAAAGCAACTTGGGGAAGAAAGGGTATGTTATCAGCGGGTGTCAGGGCAAGAACTCAAGGCAGGAGCTGAAGCACAGGCCACAGAGGAGCATTCCTTATTGGCTTGCATTCCATAGTTCACTCAGCTTGCTTCCCAAATCCTCCCACCAAAAACAAAACCAAAACAAACAAACAAACAAACAAACAAACAAACAAACCAGGGTTACTCTGTGTAGCTTTGCGCCTTTCCTGGAACTCACTCTGTAGCCCAGGCTGGCCTTGAACCCACAGAGATCCACCTGCCTCTGCCTCCCGAGTGCTAGGATTAAAGGTGTGAGCCACTACCACCCAGCTAAGTTTTTTGGCAACCTAGGACCACTTGCTCAGTGGTGACACCTCCCACAATGCACTAGGTCCTCCCACAAAAATCGCTAATCAGGTCAATTTGACACCATTCTCAATTGAGGTTCCCTCTTCTCAGGTGGGTCTAACTTGTGTCAAGTTAGTAAAAAATTAATCAGTGTGGTCTCTGAGTATATAACCATCAATGTGGATTACTCATCAATTACCTCGGATCTGGAGTCTTCTGGCTATGGTATAAAAATTTTTTTTTTTTTTTAAATACAGGGTCCCTGTATTCCTGGCTGGTACAGAAATTAAGAGATTCATTGGCCTCTGCATCCCAAATACTAGAGTTAAAAACCTGCATCATTAAGTCTAGCTACAAAACTCACAAAGAACCAACCCCACCCCCCAGCAAACAAAAATCAACATATGGAAAGCACACTTAGTACCTACCTGCCTGTCTTTCTCTGTGGTGCTGGGGTGGAACCCAGAGTCTGGCATGCATCAGGAAGCGCTCGGCCACCAGGCCCCGCCCACCCACTACATGCACACATGCATGCAGCCCCTTTAACTCACTTATTTCCAGCACACACACATTCACCTTGACGACCTCTTCAGCACAGCTCAAACGGTTTCAGGGACTGCTTGTCCTTCCAGATTCCAAGCTCTGCCTTGCACCCCGCTACAGCGGAATTCCTTCTGCCCGTCTCCCGGGTACAGCTCCCGGGTGCCCCTTTCCAACTCTCCCCTTCCTTAGGAGACGGACCGCTCTCACTGCTCTATGCCCCACTGTGCTAAGCTCGGCCTCTGCCACTCCAACCTCTGCCTCACAACTCCCAGTTTTTCAGCCTACAGGGGACCCCTGAAGGCCTGTCACCTCAATAAATGGGAGGGCAGGCTGGCACTAGCGGCTTTATGATGGTGTCAGCTATTTCTCCTGTCTTTCATTCTGCTGTCCTGACAAAGCCAGACAACGTGCCCGGCACGCAAAGCCTTCACCCACCTTCTTTGCCACCTACAGAAGCAGCTGCAAACCAGAATGGACTTTAGACACCACGTGCAAGATGCGCTCCATTACTGCTGTGACGGACAGTAATAACCGGCCTCACTGCAAATGTGATTCTGGGAGAACTGAGTCACAAAACTCTATGCCAAGAAACTTATAAATCTTAGTGAGCTGAACCACCTAGCTACAAAAGACACTAACTTCTCACAAGAAAACGAACCTCTAATGGCGTCTTGCTAATCAGGAAGGGAGAAGGGATGGACAGTGAGGCTCTCACAGAGAATTTAAGGCCATAGTCAGATCAACAATTGCCATTTAACCTCACAGCAGTTATTCAGGGTGCCTGGGGTGGCGTGGCAGGGGTGGCTGAAGATGAGATATTGTACCACACCCCATCACATACATCTGCCTAGACACAGGTGGTGAATGGAGTCCAGGACGGCCGTCCATCAGCTGAGGAGGACAGCCGCAGGCGACGACGAACACCATGACTGCAGCTATGGGCCCTTTAAAAATGAAGACCACAAACGGTACCACTACTATCAAACAAAACCCTCTCATCTTCCTTGTTTTGTATTTTCCTTTTGTTTCTGTGTGTGGAGGGGAAACGCCCCCTCCCTCTCGGAAAGTGAGAGAGTTACTGGAAGAGCAGACATGGACGGTAAGGACCGGTGCCTTAGTCTGCTGATCCTGAATCTGAAACTTACACTTGGCAATCTCTGCTCAGGGCCAGGTTCTCAGAGGTGTCATGCTTTCTGTATCTTCTTGTGTCTGTTCAACATCTGTGTGCTATGACATCTCATGCTAGCCAGTTTACTTTCTATTTGAAATAACTCATTCCAATTTCAATTTCTCTATCTGTATTTTGGATTTCTCCAGGCCAACAACGTGTGTGCAACACACACACACACACACACACACACACACACACACACACACACACATGTACGCGCGCGCACACACACACACACACACACACACGCACGCACGCACATACTCACATACACGTGCGCACGCACACACATACACACATGCTGTATTAGTTACAATTCTGTTGCTGGAAGAGACATCATGACCAAGGCAAATTACAAAAGGAAGAATTTAATTGGAGGCTTGCTTATGTCTCAGAGGGTGAGCCACCATCATCATGGAAGGGAGCGTGGCCACAGACAGGCATAGAGCTGGAACAGTAACTAAGAGCTCACATCTGATTTACAAGATGGAGGCCCACAGAGAGAATGAGACTGGATCTGGTATGGGCCTTTGAAACCTCAAATCCACCCCCAGAGACACACCTCTTGCAACAAGGCCACACCTCCTAATCCTTCCTTAAACAGCTTACCAACAGGGAACCAAACATTCAAGCATATGCAGGCCGTTCTCATTTAAACCTCCACCACACAGACTTTTGTGGGTTGAGATGCTCATAAATAATGGCAAAATGCAAGTCTAGAAACCGTGTCTGGGAATGATCCTGCGTCTTGGAGAACTGGGAGCCTTGGGGAGGGGATATCTGCAGGGTAGAATACAATTTGAGAAATGGAGTGGGGCAGCCACTTGGGCAGAAGAAACCTTGGAATCCTGTCCTCCCAGAAGACTGGAATAAGGCAATAAATGGGCAAATAAATACACTCAAGTCCCACAGGTTCACACTAGGGCCCCAGGATGCTACAATTCATGGTTGTCTCGCAAAGTTTTTTTTTTTTTTTAATAACTGCCCTCCTAAAGGCATAGATTCATTATGCAACCATCTAGAATTTGGTTACTTGTTCTTTGCAATATGGCTTAAAATTTTAATACTTTATTCTTTCAAACACCCTACTTTCCCTCCAAAAATAGTGGAGGAAAATAATCTTCCCAGAGGATTTCTGTTATTCTTTTCCCCTTCTTTAAAACATTTTGAAGGCAAACTCAAGGGCATGAGAGTAAAATGTAGGGAGCTGTTAGGGGTAAGGAGGGAGAAAGACAAGAGGGGACAGTGTGAGAAGCAGTGATGATATACATGGTGGAAGGACACTTTATATATGTGGAACTGTCACATCCTGAGGAAGGGCAGCCACGGCAGCTTCCCACCTACGCCCGAAGCTCTCCGTGTACCTAATGAATCAGCCATCTCTGCTCTCAGCCAGCACGGTTCTGCCCAAGTGTCTGGTGGAAGACAGTTTTCCCTGGGCTTCTTTAGGCCTCTGCACATCCAATCTTCTGCACACCTTGGTTCTGGGCTGTTTTCGAAAATATCTGTAGGGAAAATGGGCTTGCAGACAATAGAGATTGTGTCTCTCCGAAGCAAAGAGCAGGCTTCATCCATCAAATAAGACTCATGGATGACCAAATAAGATGACCTGTATTCCTCTCCTACGCCACACAGTTATCGCCTGGCACCTGTCAT